CAACTCAAGGGCGAGGGCAGCGATGACGAGCCTTCAGCGGAAGAGAAGATGGCCGAGGCCCGTGAGAAGGAAATGTAAGTTTGCTCTGTATCATTTCTCCCCTTTCTTTATACTAATTCAAAAATCTGTAGTCTCGAGCACCTGAAGGAATCACGCAAGAAGGCTATGGACGAGGCCGACGAGGAAGCAGCCGAAAAGGACAAGGCTGAAGCGCCAGCCACGACCACAGCCCCGGTCGAAGAGAAGGAGGCCGAGAAAGCACCTGCCGCCTCCAGCGGGCCATCCTACCCCACGTCTTCTAAGAGCGGCCCCAAGAACTGGGACAAGATCGAGGGCGTCGACTCGGATGAGGAGGAGGGAGACGTCAACATCTTCTTCAAGAAGCTGTACAAGAACGCCACCCCCGAGCAGCAGCGGGCGATGATGAAGAGTTTCACGGAGAGCAACGGCACCAGCCTTAGCACTGACTGGGACGATGTCAAGGCACGCAAGGTCGAGACTGTGCCCCCCGATGGCGTTGAAGCCAAGAAGTGGTAATTCAGGAATTCGTTTACTTGCAACTTGAGGCTGTCTTTCTATGAGCAAGGAACCGAATTTAGTGTGCGATATCAAAGGATGCTCTTCATTAGTTGGAAGATTGTGTCCGGCATCTACAAAAAAAAACCTCGTATGGAGGTGTAGCTAGGAACTGAAAAACAGTAGCAAAAATTGAAATGAGATCATGAACAAGTCCTTTATCTATTCCAATTACTAGTTTCCAATTGCTAGTCTACATTGATTTCCCCTAACAGTAGAGCCATCTCATCTGAAAGAAGGACCTTTTTCCTGCAGCCGCGACCTCGCCCTCTCAACCGCCCTGTGCTCCTCCGCCTGGCTCTCCGTCTGTATCCTGCGGAGCCTGTCCAGCAGCTGCGTGTACCAGTCCGTGGCCACCAGCTCGGCCTCCGTCTCGTTGGGATTCCACAGCGCACGCCGGGCCCAGAGCGGCTGCGCGTGCGTCTCTGGCGCGTAGCTCGCCCGGCTGATGAAGTCCTCGGGCGAGATGTACGCCCCGCGGAGCCACCGGCTGCCGCCGCCCGCGGCGTCGAAGGCCTTGCGGCCGTGCAGCACGCGCATGTTGTCGAAGAAGACGGCCTCCCCGGGCTCCATCTTGGTCTCGTACGTGGCCGAGTCCTCGTTGACCATGGCCTCGAAGATCTGCGCGCCCTCGATCCAGCTTTTCAGGTCCCGCCCACCGCCGCGGAACGGCTTCTGGAAGGGCGGGCTCCAGTAGACGCCGCCGTAGACCTGGGTCGAGGACGTGTTGGCGTTGAGGAGCTGGCGGGCGCGCATGTACCGGTGGCCATACTTTTCGTAGCCGTACAGGACGTTGGTGTGGGTGAGGTTCTTGATGGGGGCCTGGTCGCGGAGCGCCCACATCATGCGGCCGACGCGGTCGGCGTCGCTGAAGAGGGACTCGCCGCCGCTGCAGGAGTTGTCCATGCAGTGCAGGACCTGGATCTTGGGGGGCGGCTGGAGGTAGAGGAGGTCCTGGTGCAGGCCGAGGTAGCCGCTCGTGTAGGCGACGTTCTCCGCGTTGGGCTTGGCCCGGACGTCAAAGGTGCGGCCGTAGAAGGTCTCGCGGATGTTGGCCATGCGGGTCGTGATCTCGACGATGGAGTTCTCGTCGCGGGGCACGTTCTTGAGGAAGACGATGCCCAGGCGCACGAGATCCTGCACGACGTCCCAGAAGGCGTCCTCGCCCTTCATGTACTCGTGGTAGTCGATCTTGCGGACTTTTCTCGAGATGATATCGGCGTCCCAGTGCTCGAGGCCGAAGCGACGCTGGAGCTGGAACATTCTGGGGTTGATGGGCTCCGTGCCGCGTGAGAAGTGGTTTCGAATCCACTCCCAAGTGAGGGTGATTACATGGCTGTCTTCGGTACTATGGGAGAGATCCCCAAAAGTGCTGACGACAACACCGACGTCTGTCTGCTCGACGTGCTGTATCTTGATCCAGGTAGGCACCTGCGAAGTGGCGAACGACTTCTGGCCGGAACTCGCATCGACGCACCTGGGGCACTGGCACGCATCCCGCAGCTGCGTGGCCTGGAACTCAAACCCCTTCTCGCTCTCATCGACAACATACAGGATATTATCGTGCCATGAGACCTGGAGCGCCTCGCCGTTCTGGGTGTCCACATGCATCGGCAGGCTCCGTGCGAGCCTGGGAATGCTCAACTGACGCCCCCTCCATTTAGAGCGAGGAGGCTGTGGCTGTGCATTAACCTCGACATGGCCGGGCTCCTCCTTCTCGATTGCATCCTCCTGATACTGCGGAGACGATCCGGAGGTATGTCTGCTGGGGCTAAGTCCAGAGGTGTGGAAACGGTTGCAAGGCTGGAAGGCAACCGCGTCTACCGCTGCAATTGATGGTCTGAAAAGCCCGCGACGACTCTGCGCAACGCATGCTGCAGCTAGTCTGGGGTGTGAAGAAATGAGTCTGCGGGTTGCGACGCGCATGGCGATGGGCCGACCACCTTTTCGCGAGAGTCGCAAAGGTTTTTCAGGAACAAATAAGAAGATACGGAGGAAAGTAATTATTCGGTAGATATAATATATATGTTAGAACAGAAAGAAAGAATCGAGCAATTGGGTAGCCGCGGTCCCGAAGCCTCGGCTCAGTGTGGTCAGAGGTCGTTGTTCGGCTTGTCTGTTCTTATGCCGTCTCCATGAGAGATGGAGACTGGCGTGGTTTTGGCCCAATGGAGATGCGCTCGCTTGTTCTGTTTTCTCCCCCTCCACATCTTCACTCTCTCTCCTGTACCCCCCGCTCACCCGACACCCTAAAATCCCCTCTCCATTTCTACGTTTATGCGCGATGATGAGGGAATGTATTCATGTGATCATAAATTGTATTTATGGGTCAAGGTGTTCGATATTTCATGCGTTTCACATGTGCACTCCCTCCATCAAGTGTATGTACCAAATGATATTAGCCACAAAGCAGTCCGTATTGTAGGCATCTGCTATTTCATGTGCCAAGAGAGACACTTTAAGGAAAAAAAGGGGACAAGCCAGCGAGTAGAAAATGGACAAGGGTGGAGGGGCACAAGTGGGTGGAATGAACCATGGCACACCAAAGCTCTTTCCGGGGCCTCGTTTTAGTAGCTAAACACAACAATAGGAGAATACAAGTAATAAGGGAGTAATAAATATTCTGTAATATTTATCTTGATATTATATTCAGTACTCTAGTATTTATTATAATATTGTATTGAAACTATCTCGATGTGCTATGCTTTATTTCACTTACTTGGGGCGTTTCACCCAACACGATAATGCGCACAGATGCGAGTCACCCTACGCATCAGCAACACAATTGATCTCAGCTGTAAGCCTGTGATACCTGAATCTAGGTTTATATTAAGGTTGATGATTAGCTCGCCGTACTCAATCGAGCAGGTTAGTCAGATCCTATTTGCCGCGATGATGGTAAATACGCTCAATAGCTACTGAAAACTCTAGCCTCATCAGCTTTGCCTATCCCTATGAAGGCCTGCCAGCATCAACGGTCTTGTAACCAAGGTAAAGATATATCTACTAAAGCATGCGGCGAAAAACCAGTTTCTCCGTTCCATGCTTCCGGAAGTACTCATGGCATCTATAACATCTGCCCTTAACCGCATAGGCCGTTGCTGGCAGGGCAATGCCGCACGCGGGGTTCAAGCATGTGCGGGCAGAATGCTCTTCAGGTCCGCGATGCCTCTTCGATTGATGTCCAGGGGGCCTCTCCGTTTTAAAACTCCGGAAGTATCTAGTGCAAGCTTTGCATCTGCCATTAACCACTTGCGACCCAGCTGGAAGCGGAATTCCACAAGCAGCGTTAGCGCACGTGCGAGTATCAAGGTCTCCGCAAGCCCTGTCCGTTTTATCATGCTTCTGATAGTAGTTATAGCATGAGCTACACCTGCCTTGAGCTACATATGACCCAGCTGGCAAGGCAATGCCGCAAGCGGGGTTCAGGCAAGTGCGATTCGCAAATTCTTGAACCTGGCTGTCGAGCCGTTGCTTCTCTCGTTCGCAGATCTCTCGTGGTCTCTCCAAGCCCTTATGAGAGCGTGCATAATCAGAACAAGAACGACACCTGCCTTTTACCAATATGCCTTGGGGTGGCACAATGATGTCGCAATTTGGATTGCTGCATAGCTTCCCTTGGGTAGGCTCCTGGACAGGTGAAGGAGGCTCGGATTCCCTCTTGCGCTTGCTTCTCGCGTCACTCTGTGCTGCTAAAGCCTGCTTCAGACTAGCTTCAGTGCAGGCATCGCATCTCTGTAGGTATTTCCTTCTGGGAAGGCCACAGTCCGGGCAGGTCTGTTCTGCGCGGTGGCGTTCCCGTGCCCGGCTACGCTTGTCGGCCTTGTAGCACTGGTGACACAACTTGTATCCCATCGCTCTCGGCCCACCACATGCAAAACACTCGAGCGCGTTCTGGGGATCATGTTCAATCCTCGCTTCCAGATCAGCTAAGTATCCCCTCTGCCTGGTCCTTTCATCAGCAAGAGTGCAGTCTCTGCAAGTGCCTCGCCCGTGTGGCCGCTCTACACCACACTTGCAGCGACGCAGGTCACTAGGTGGTCTTAAGTCATAGCATTCCCGGCATATGTGGTTGCCATCTGCGTCAGCTCCGCAAAGTTTGCAGGAGCTTCTTGAGCGCCCATTTATCAGGACCAACAGCGCGAGGTCAATTTCTTCTATAGGGACGTCTCCAGCGCTAGCGTGTGCTCGTTGGCGGCATTGAGCCCAAAATGCGTGTGCGCCGAGACCTGGTGCTCGGCTCGCCCTTAATCCATTGACAGCGTCTTTGACAAGCTCCTGTGCCCGTATGCCAACATTGGGGGGGGGGATTACCACAAGGAGAGTTTTCAGTCTGTAACCCCAGAGTTCGTTGTAAAGACGTATCGGGGTATCCATGTCTGCCCTCTCAGTGAATGTGAACTTTGACTCTGCATGGTACCTCGCTACGCTTTCGGCCAAGTGTTTTTCTATTGAATTTCTTGTCCGGAAATGTCCTTCACTAAGGAGCCAAAAGCTCACGGCGCTGAGGATACTTCTTCTTGTGGCGTAGGGGTTCTCTTGTAGAACTTCTTCGAGCCGGTCATAACATTTCCGGTCTTCATCTGCTAGCCATATACGGGTGCGGGTCGATGTGGACACTTGATTGTTCTCCCCGGCTATGAACAGCTGGCAAATAGAGGGATCGGCTGGCGGGAGTTCGACTTTGCCTTCAAACAGCTTCATTTGACGCGTTGTCAAAATATCAAAAAGCATGAGCGTGTCGGCAACAGCGTCATGCCAACTCCAGACTAGATGTGATGGCGCGAACAACGCACAGGTGTATCCTAGAGTGTATCCGGGCAGGCTGGGCCCAGAAGCTCTCATCCATACGAGAGGCAACACCCAGTTCGATGAGGAGGGCAGAATTTCTTGTGGATTGAAGCCTGCCCGGGACAAGGCGCTATAGTAGCAGGATCGGTCATATGATGTCAGCGACCACTCTGCTACCTTCATTGAAGGGGCCGATTCCTTCAGTTGCCGCCACTGATTTGCCAGCCATGCCATGTCATGGCCAACTGGTCGCTTCAGGGATGGCGACCCGAAGGCCTTGCGCAAACCGAGCGCTTGTCTTTGCGACAACTTTCCACCGCAGAGCTCCGCAGCTAGAGTCCAGATTTCCTCAACCGTATTGCAACCGTGATTAATGTAGCCTGAAAATACGACATTTCGGTTTGCATCAATAACTGCAGCTTGGATAAGGAGCGGTCCTACATTCTCCGTGTCTGTGAGGTAAACGTCGTTCGAGTCGCGAAAGTCGCGAAGGAACTGGGACTCCTGAGGTGTAATGTCGGTGTAGGCTCGTTCTGAGTCGGCAAGAAATTCCGTAGCGTCGGCTGGAGTTCGAAGATCGTAATCTGAACCTCGTGCCAGGGCGATCTGCACTGCCGATCGTATACACGAAGGAAGGCGGGAGCCATCCACAAGCTCCAGGGCATGATTCTCGCATAGATGCGTCCCCATACACTTTGGACTCTGGCAGTGTTCCTGTTCGCAAGGTGAATCTTGATGCTCTCGGTCAGGCTTCTTCTAGCGACCTGAAGAGAACATTGATTTCACTACTTCTTCAACGCCTTTGCAGGCTTCACACAACAGAGGCAGCTCCATATAAGGCTGCAAATACCCGTGTCCGTTGCTTCTAAAGACCTTAGCAACAACGGTATTCCGCAGGGAGATGACCCTGCGGAAAGGGCAGCTGAGATACGGCGTGGCCCCAACACATCTTTGACCCTCGCGGTATCTCAGCACGCCATTATAGTACAACCGTCCTACCAGGTGCAAGTAAGTATGTGCTAAAAGCTCCGTAATGGGGGATCTACTCACCTAGCTTCTCACAATTATAATCATAAATATTATCGTGATGTCTCGATGTAGAATGTTTTTGTAACTGCGCCAGTTAGCAGCTATATAGATTTAAAGCAGCTTCGGAACAGTCTTACCGCCTTGAAAGTTTGTAAATGATCTGGTATATGCTTTTCGGCTTCTGTCGGCGTATCATAAAGAGAGATTTTCGGGGGAAGATTGAGAGGAGCGTTTCGAGGTAATTGTTCGTCTGTACTATGAGATAGGTCCAAGTACGTCATCTGAGGATCTACCATCTGTCGTCGACCCTCGATTTCTTTCAAGTTCAAGTCCTGCAATGACTGAAAGGATTGCGTGACAACCCCGTGGCGACCGTTCAAATGAAGTTTGAAACAACGCATTTGGCCGCTAGGTGTGCTACTTTTGCTGACGAAGCTGCACGATGGAAATGGGCAACGAGCTGATTGTTGATGTTCCAGCATGTCGTGGATATTCATTCCCCAATCCGAATACAAATCTTCCTTATCCTGGCAATCCTGGTGTGCGCATAAACGACGAATCCCATGCCTCGCGGCTATATGCATATCCAACGACACTGACAGCACGAATGACTCAGGACAGTATTGGCACGTCGCCGCCTCGCTTTGGCCGTACTTAGAGGGGGGGTCCGGACGAACCACCTCAGCACGAAGTGCTGAGGCAGGGCAAATCTTGATATGTCGCACTTGGTCCGCTCGACACTCAAAAGTCTTAACGCACAGCTCATCAGAGCATGTGCTCTTCAGCAAAACCTTGTCCTCGTCATTGATGACAAGGTTCGAACACTCGAACAAGTTCGGTTCTAAGTCCCATCCGCTCTCTTCTTCTTCTTCTTCTTCTTCTTCTTCTGAATAGACGCTATTGAGGTCATCATCTGCTACACTGCCTTCCCATTCCGAGTCTAGCGACTCGGAATGGATTGACAGCGTTGACAGAAGATGATTCTCGCCAACGTCCATCGCAACGACTTTCGCTTTGGGCGTAAATTCTGCCTGGGTTTAAATGAGATTCCGTTAAAGAGAGAAATTTGAGTAGATGAGCTTCTTCTTGCCTATCGCATAGTACTTGAAGATGTGTGTGTGTTGATGGATGTGTGTGTGTTGATGGAGCTATTGAACATGGAGGGGTTTCCGGGCACTTCACCTATCTACCTACATAGGCTAGCAGCCCCTTCCATGGAAGGTTCTAGATAACAAGGATATTAGTTTGTTCAATATTCTGAAACCCGGCTCACCTTCAAGAGGCGAGAGATAACAAACCTTTGGGCAAGCAGTTGGGCGGCACGGGAGGATGCGCCAGATGACACGATCAACAATTGTGAGTGGTTTATATTCATAGTAGACTTTCTTGCCACATTGAAACTTGGTTTTTGATATATACAGCTAGAGGAACAATGATTACCTACCGGTACAGGTCTGCATCGATTAGGCAAGGAGAGACAGTAGCTCAGAGAACAGACAAGGAAGGACAAACGATTCATTGAAAGCTGCCTTGCATCTTCAATTATCCATAAATCCAAAGCTCTTCTTTTATCAATTGGATGGTGCGGCGAGAAGGTTTTGTGCCATGGAGGCTTCGTGTGAGCATTGGGTGAGCCTTCGGTGATGTCTGACTACCAACATACATGTTTGTACCAAACAGTTTTACGCTCAACAACCTATTACGTGTCTCAACAGCGTGACTTAGTTGTCTGCCGCTGCGACGAGCGATCGCTGCAGACCTAACCTCGCTGTCCCTTATCAAGATGAATGATCGCTGTCTTCCGTCAAGACGAATTATCGATGTATTGCTGACCCGGCCGTCTGCAGCTGCGACAAGCAATTGCTACTACCTACGAACCTGACCTGCCTGTCTGCTACTACCATTACAATTGATTAATGTAGCCGCAGCTATGGCCGTAGCTCTAATCTAAGAACAGCAGCCCTGACAGTATGTGAAGTTCTGGCAGCCTACTAAGCTCCCAACAGTATAACAAATCTGACAGCCAAACCATCTGGACAGCTATTAGCCCTTTGACAGCCTTACCAATTAACCCAGAACGTCCAAAACATTTCCTGTCAACAGTAAAAGTTTTGGTAATAGTCTTAACGCTTGACAGGCTGTCCCTAGTACTGTCCACAACCCCAACTGCGCGCTTTCGGCGGACGAACCGAAAACAGGCTTTGCCAAAATGGTGTCGCCAATTTGTTTTCTTAAACACCAATTGTGACCGACAATGACAAAATGTATTATAATACAGCTCTTAACTTTTCCTCATCTACAACCCGCTCACCTGACACCCTTAAAACCCCTCCAATTCTACGCATGCACGCGATGACAAGGAAAATACGTTCATGTGATCATAAATTGTATTTATAGGTATCCCATATTTCATGCGGTTTTACATGTGTACTTGCTCCATCAAGTGAAGGCGATACCTCACACGAGGTGCCCATTCTGAGGAGTCTTCCTCCACGGCGAGCTATATACTATACACGAATCCTCCAATTTGCTCAGAGACAACCACCTGGGTAAGCCTCCCAAACCATTGTAATATAAAGCAGCTACCGGTTGCGGTTGCTGGACCATCGCTTCACCATTATCTCTCGGACCTTGTACAATTCCAAGGCATCTGCCAAGCCTGATTCAAGAGCCTGTTCGAACTTGTGAGGCGGGGGTACATCCACGTAAACAAGTACCATGCTCTTCATGACATGAGACAGAACCCGAAGGATGCTATGAAACCACTGCCACGTCTTCTGTGGCTTGCGCTTCCCCGATGACTGCCACCAGGGATCCGAGTATGAGGGTATAACCAGCAACCCAAACTCTGCGTGATCAAACACAGGCCCCCTGTTGTAAAGGAGCCAATCAACTCCAAATTTAATGCCCGCACGGGGTACCCAGCCCAGTGAGCGAAAATGATGGTACACAACATAATGTAGAAGGAAATCGTCATCCGGTAATGGAGACGGGTCATCAGGCCCAGTCAAGGGCGGGAAGACGGAGTGCTGGCGGAACAAGTTGAGAAGAGCCCGAGTGGACAATGGAGTCCCAGATCCATCAAGCACAACAAGTACACCTAGAGCGAAATTGAGCCACAATGCTTCCTCTGGCATGAGTTGAAGGTGCTCTTTGTTGATCAGGACACCAGCACCGGCCTGGGGTACAGGAGACAGAGACTCATTTTGTTTAGGATTAGTTGAGTGTCCAGGACTTGGAGGGTCGGCATGGTCGAACGTTGTAGATGCTACTGTAGGTGAGAACCGTACGCTCTTTCGACGCTTCAAACGATCGAGACCCGGGATAACTGGCGTCGAAATCGGCCCTTCGGTCGACGAGGTATCATCACTGGTTTCCAGACTTGAGTCTAATGTGCCATTTGTCTTGGAATAATCATCTGAACTTTCACCATACGATGACCCGTCCTTGACGAACCCGTTGACCAGGTTGCCAGGCAAACTGGCGGCCGAGTTGGGAAGAGCAAGGATCTCAGCCGGACCGACTGGTGCCAGAGGCTCCGCGGGAATATGTGCTTTTAGGGTGGTGTCCGCATCCCCAGCGGCACGGCGCTTTTGAGCTTGCTTTGCCTCTCTTTCGCGTGTCTGACGGATGTTTTCCTGCTCAAGCCTGGCTCGCTCCCACTTGGCGCGTATTCGCTCTTCGCGTCGCTCGACAGTATGAATTTCACTCACGTGGCCTTCCTGTAGGCCTCTACGAACTTCTTCTCGCTTCAGCCAATTAGGCTCACTTCTACTCAGATTGCCCTTTCCGTAAAATCCTTGCTCCCATAGCGCCCGCATAGACTGCGCATCTTTAATGTGAACAGACGTGGTCGCTACGGACCAGGTGCCCTGGTGAATGATACTGGGCTCGGCAGCAGGCGGGGACAGGATCTGGCCAACCCAGGCATATGCGAGTTGGATGAAGGAGAGCGGATTGCTTGGATAGAATGAGGGTAGTGGAAATGTCTTGATCGGGATCGGTTGGACATAGATCTCGTGAGGCCGACGCTCCCTCGCTGGATTATTGTTGGCACTAGCCATGGCAGGTTTCGGAGTGGAGGTTTCAGCCATTCTGCATCTGAGTCATCTTGACCTTTAAACCTGTTAGCTGTGGTGCCCTAAATCAGGTTTCCGGATAGTCATTGATAAGAAAAGAAAAATTCCTGCGGTATCAGATACCGTTGTAGTCTATAATTTTGGGCAAGCATTGAGGACCAAGTGAATGGTGTTTCCTCTTAGCACCGTTACGAATTGTCATCATAACGCAGGACAGCCTTCAGCAGCACGATTTGCTGCCTTGGCATGGAGGGAGGAGTCATCTGTCACGGTGACAGGAAGAATAATGAAAATGCCTTACCTGGATGTAATGAGGGCCTCGGCAGTATCAGCTCATGGCTTTCTCTGCGTGAGCTCGTCAATGGATGAACACGACGACGCTCTCAAGGCCTCTCTGTACAGCTCTGTTTGTGTGAGCTTAGCAGATTGATGATGGAGGAAGAAAACTGGGAGCTTTCGAATTTTTTCCCGCGCTTATTTAGCATGCGGTACGTACCAACCCCAAGTGGGGATCACTCCGTCGCACAGATTTGAGGCCCGCTGAAGGGAGGTGGATGGCCCTAGCTGCACTATTCACAGGGCACAGGCCGAACACAGCAGGTGATTCGACCCCCTGAATGCTAGGCACCGTGCTGTGGTTGGTGGTTTTTGCCGCTCTAGAACATGCTATCAAGTTTGGATATTAGACGTCGCTGGATCTGCGTTGGGCTCATTTATATTTGCTCGCTCCCTAGATTGATACTTTCCGTCCCGAGCCCCTATCCGCTACACCTACGACTATCCGCCGTTGGAAGAGATTTGTCTGTACCCGTGTAATCAACTGTGTATTCCAGGCCTTAGTTTGGACAGATAGCAAAGGAGGGTCCGTCTCACGCATGAACTAATCACCTCACCAACCTCTTCCTCTTCCGCAACATCCGTTTCTGGAACCATTAATTCAACCCTGAGGGCACTCGCTGTACCTGCTAGCCAAACACTCTTTCATCTGTCCTACGGCTTCTGGCAGTATTGGTCCGCAGTTTATACAGCCTCTCTCCGTACAAATACTGCTCTCCCTCGTATGATGACCAGCCCCGCTCAGCTCTACCGCCATTTCCGTTTATTATAGCTGGTTATCATCCGGTAACGATGAGCGCAGTCATTGAGACAGTTGCTCTCATCTGCCTCATATGGAGTTGCCTCGTCGTTCTCGTTGAGTCCCTTGGCATTCGCGCCATGTAGCTATAACACCCCTCTTGCAGTATCATGCAACAGTTGCTGACATGCTCTTACAGCTTCAAGCACTATGCAAAAGAACCTTCGCCGGGGGTCTCACCCGGCCTTGGGCAGGATGCGCCGTCTGTAACCATCATTCGGCCCGTCAAGGGTCTAGAACCTAAGCTATACGAATGTATTGCTTCCACTTTCCGCCAAGACTATCCTAGAGAGAAGCTTTCAATCCGTCTTTGCGTCGACGACTACAGCGACCCAGCTTATCCAGTCCTGAAGCAGGTCGTGAATGATTTCCCCGGGTTTGATGCCGAAGTCTTGGTCGAGTCCGACACGGCCTCAACAGAGTACATGGGCAAGGTCGGACCAAACCCCAAGATTCGAAACATCAGCAGGGCGTACCGAGAAGCAAAGGGTGAGGTCATATGGATAATGGACTGCAATGTCTGGGCGGCGGCGGGTGTCCTGGGCCGGATGATTGACAAGCTCATGGGCTATTCCAAAGGCGACGCCTCAGCACGCCCCTACAAATTTGTCCATCAACTGCCGATCGTGGTGGATCTTGTTGATTACTCCGGTGAGAGGTCTCCCGCGGAGCAGGCACTTCTTTCCCCCGACGCGTCATCTTCGAGCGTAGACCCCATGCCCTCGAGAGAAAACGATGGCCTCTTCACAAAGATTCGCCTCAACGGTGGTGGCCGCCTCGACGAGTTGTTCATGGCCACCACACATGCCAAGTTCTACGGTGCCATCAATATCGTCGGCGTCGCCCCCTGCGTTGTAGGCAAGAGCAATATGTTCAGAAAGGCACATCTAGACCAAGCAACCGACCCGGCTCAGAACCCCATCCTACCCAAGAACCAGGGCCGGCTGACTGGTGTTGACTACTTCTCCCACAACATCTGCGAGGACCATTCGATTGGAGAGCTGCTGTGGAAGACAAAGATTGAAGGCCACGGCAAGCATGGCATTGTCTGGGGAGACCTCGTCGTCCAACCCATGTCGGGCATGTCCATTGATGCTTATATCGGACGACGAATCCGCTGGCTGCGAGCTCGCAAGTACACCGTCCTGGCGGCGACCTTGGTCGAACCCGGAGTCGAGTCTCTCCTCTGCGGTCTCTACTTCAGTTTTGGTGCGACAACAGTCCCCTGGGTTCATGAAGTCCTTGGTATTCCCCAGACGTGGTCGGCCATGGCAATTGCCTGGTTATCTTTCGTCACAGCCTGGATGCTGGCTGACTGGGCCGTGGTTCGTCGCCTTCACGCCGGCAGCTCGATCACCTTTGACGAAAATACGCCCTTCTTCGCCAAGGGAAGAAGAATCCCCGGAGTAACTAATCGCCGGTTCTTGGAATGGCTGCCCGCGTGGATTGGCAGGGAAGTGATGGCAATGCCGATCTGGGTAACCGCAGTGTTGCTCGGAGGTACCGTAAACTGGAGAGGCCGAATCTTCAAAGTCCATTCCGACACCACCGTACATGAAATCACCCCCCAGGTCCATCAGAGGCCATCTCAGCCACGGACTCCGGAATTAGAGAGACAGATGCTCCCCAATAAAGATAGACGTGACTAGATCAAGTGTTTCTGACTTGTTAAAAGAATACTTTAATTATCTTCTTTGAACTTCTCTCTAGATTTCTTCTAAGCATCTTGTTTAATGTTAACTATTGAAGACCAGCTTGATATGAAATGGTTACATAGATACAGTCACTAGATCGCAATTCAACATCCACATCTGCGAAAATGGCAAATTTCATGGATTTCACTGTTTATATTCGATTGTCTTGTCAAGACAGGATCCAAAAGAAGAAAGAAAGAAAGAGTACATCATTCCTTTTCCTCCTATGCACAGAATGCTTTTGTAGAACTACCCAGCGCCGTAACTCCAATATTGCTTGACAAAATCTTGAGTGACCAAAGCGAAGAGTTCGGCCCTCGGTCTTATATCGATAACCCAATCTCATTCGAGGTGAAATAGCGTCCACCATAACGGACGCTCGGGATGAGGATCTCGCAATTTGAGTTCTCTTCCTCCCAAAATGTTCCCAGTGCCCCGAATTACGCCGCCGTGGGCCCCTAGCTCGATTGGTACCAATGTTCTAGAGATCGTATTTCCAGCAGCGCTTCTCAACTCCCAGAATTCGCTCATCCGGAAGCGAAAAGATTATCTTCGTCGCGCAGGTACTCTCCGTTATCGGCCTGTCGGAAGCACACGACACCGGTGGGATCCAACCGCCGAGACTCGGCAGTGCTGCGAGCGGTGACGCCAAAGCCGAGCGGCACGTCGTCCATGCTATAGACGACGACGCCCTGGTGCTCCGGGCAGTCCTCGGAGAAGCGGCCGATGTGGGCCTTGACGACGTTGCCACCGTAGAGGAAGGGCTTGTATTCCATCACACTTGTCAGTTCTAAGAGAATCCACCTTCAGAGTCTTTGAAACCACTAACCATTACGCCGTTCGGTCGAATCCATATCTTATGCCTGGCATGAGGAGCCAGGATTTGGAGCGCCGTTATATGTAAGCGGAACTTGCCCGATTTTGTGAATTTCCCTAGGCAAGTACCAAGAGATAGTATCTTATCGCGAGAGAAAGAGGTGGCCAAATTTGCTAGAGATAGCATCACAGCGTATACGCGGCCTTGGACTAGTCTGAACACCTGAATTTTTCGTCAGTCGTAGACAGGCAGTGGTGGGAGGCGGTTTGCTCTTACGATGCGGTCAGCTTTGGGGGAGTTGTCGACGGGGGCGATCAGATTCTTCACTATTTCAAGATTAGAAGTTGAAGAATGGATCAGTTTTGGGGTGGGTTGACGGACAAGAAGACCCCGTATACTCGGCTAGTTTCTTGAAGAGGGTCTGGGTCTCTTCTTCTGTGAGGGGACGCATCTTGGCCGATTGGCTATTCGTCGATGAAGAGAATTCGGTCGAGGCGCAAAGAAGAGGATGGGTTGACCAAGGTGAAGCTGGGCCGGATGCTCGCGCAAGCGCAGAAAAAGTTTCAATGGGCGGTTGGTTTCTTATCAAATTGGCTTATCGGCGCTGCTGTGGCTTAGCGCCCCTCTAAATTTTGTGGCTGAAAATATTTTCCAGCGGCTGATCTACCTTTTCATAGGTAGGTGATCAACGTCTTCTTGAAAACCAAGAAATAAGTATAGGTAGCTCATGAGAAAATGGAGTAGTATTAGAAGCAGCAGTGGTAAAATCAATGATTCAAGAGCTGAAACGTAGTAATGGCGTGTTCATTTCTATGTCGTTCTGTATGCCGGCAACGTAAATATCTAGCTACCCTAAGCCAGCATCAGATTCCTCGACCAGCGATCTAAGTCGATGAACACTTCACTATGCTCATCAATTTACCGAATTGTTTGCAATAAGGCATATTTCGATCTTGTTTATTCTTTGATTCTTTGTTCTTTCTCAAACAGAAGGCAGAAATGCGAAAAAACTCTGCCACTTCCTTAACGAAATCGTACGCACGTAAAAGTATCCTCGCTACGTATCCGCCATTGGGTGTCCCAAGTCTAACATGAGTCTTGCTAAGGTAATGTGGCATGATCTATGGGATTACTTTTGAATTCGAGCGCGTTTCTCTGTTCACCAAAGCTAACGACCGTAAGACATTATACTCGTATGTTTAGTCCAGACTGAATGCAACCTGGAACTCTGATGAGAGTCCAGCATCAGCGCTAAAAGATGAAAATGGTGTTGGATATTGACTCGAAAGGCCTTCAGTGTCCCTTGAACTTGATACTCACTTAAAAAGATTCCGTTACGACGGTAACCTGATCATCGATGAACATCGGGGTGCTGGCATTTAAAGCGTATCGTCAGCAATGAACAGGTAGCAACATGAAAGGTGAGAAACAGGCTCAGAGCGTCTATTCAAGTTATCGAGGTGTGCTTGTCGCGATCTAGCCTCCCAAGAGAATTCGGTGTGGTGTGCGAGACCGAGCTCAGGCTGACCAGCTTGCTCTTCGCTACAAGTAGATCGATTCCAACTGAGTTTTCAAACGAGTAAGCAAATATTCGTCTCATAAGTGGCCTTTGAGGCCTATCTTTATGCTTGAGAACGGCATAGAGATATACTAAAATGACATTTGACGGGATCGCCGACGAGTGATCACGGGAAACATTCCCCTGTGTACGTTGTGGCACAGAGGGAACCAAGCATGGGTATCTCCTTCATGATTGTCATTTAGTACAGCTGTGATTAAACAGCACTCGAGTTACTGTGAGACGTCATTGCTTGATGGATGCATAGCGTCTGCTTCACCTCTAGTAATAACATTCAGCAACTCGCTGGTGTTCTCCGTGGCAATCTGAAGCTGCCTAGAAAGCCTTTGTACATTATGAAGCCTAGAGGCAGTAATCGAAACGCTTCGTGTACGAATTGTGTTCTACTGTGTGTATTTACGGCCAGTGGTCGCGGTTCGAAGGGAAGCCGGATCGGGGTCAAGTCCTGACACTTGGAGGTGCACGCTGTACTCGTCTACGATTGATTCGGCCTTATGTTGCCAGAGAAAGTCTTTGAAATTCAGATGAACGCGGTTGAGGTTGTCATCGCCAACGATAGAATCATCAGCTGAAATGCTTGAATATCTCCGTCCGTCCGGGCTCTCTCTCTCGTTCAGAATCACTCCGGTCGCGGAATAAAGTGGCAAAAAGGGGGTTTCTTCTCACCTCCAAGAATTGTTGAATGATAAGAAAAGAGCTATGTCATTCGTTGACTGGCATGTCATTAGTGATTTTGAATCATCGTTGGTAACCTCGGTTGGAGGACCGGGTATGAGTTGGGGGAACTTCAGCCCCCCTGCTCATCCTGTTCCCCCCCTTCAGTTTCCCCCCCTTCTCCAAATTTCCTTCAATGCATGCGGGCACCCCACCCATCTTTTCGTAGATACGGTACATGCGTGAATAAAATAATATCTTACTAGTTCACATATATGGTGGGTTTGTTGCTGGGGAGAGTCTTGTTGGGGGAGTAGCCTGCATGTGTCTGTGGTATAGTGGGCAGCTTCTCCTCACTGCCCCCAGTCAAGTATCCATCCCCCCAAGATCAATCTCAGCAAGGGGTGGTTTCAAATATTGTGACTCCTCACGTACCGTACGTAGCATGGGCAGGGGGCTTTCCCCGCATGAGTGAGTGAGAAAACATCGAACCATCTGCGGAGATAGAGATTATTGAGGTGCGGAGTCACACCTAGTAAAAGACTGGCCCCGAATGACATGCCATTCATGGTTGGGTCACTCTCTAATCGGAGATTCGTGTTGAGATCATGCCCCATGGGGACCATCTGTCTTGCCTGATTTTTCCATTTACACCATCTGTGCATGCCAGATGGAAAGTGCGGGTTAGAGATCAGTGTCCACCCCAAGAGAAAATGGCAAATATGGGAGTATGGCAATACGACTTGGAGACATGTGGATCTATCGAATGTGGTTGTGGTATATACTCGTGTTCCTTTTGTCTTCCTTTTTTCTAAAATGCAGTTGCCCCTCACGCTGGTAAGACTTGCATTGTCTTTCGTTGGAGTAAGCCCATTTTGGGGTTCTGTGTGGCTGTATAAAGACCGAGACCGAGATTGCCTCAAGAGCGAGTGAATCCCCACCATTTATTTCTTGGCCTGCATCAGTAGGAGGGATGCATGTAGCCAAGGATCCATACACGATGATACTATGAGTAGATGGGGGCGGGATTGACCCCAACGTTAAGCGAACAAGGAGAAGCTACGGGAGCGCTGGAGAGATAGATATCTCTAGGTTGGCATTCATCAGGGTTCAGGGTTTGAGTAGGACGCCCCGGATGGTAATGAGGCCGCCCTTGTGGGCGATAGTGGCATGAAGCTGGCGGCTAGAGACCACATATGGAAATAATAAGCAGGGATTCGTGTAATGTACAAGAGTTAATTATCGTTCGAGACTTCTTCTTTGCTTATGCACGGGTGTGGAGCTGGCCATAAGTGTGTGTGAAGTAGGACCACGCCGCTGCCGCGTAACATATTCGCCATGTGTCTTACCCCTGACGATGAAAGAAAGCAGTTACCGGGCTGGCGGCCTCCTCTGAGGGTGAAGTAGGAGAGAAGCTCGATAGAAAACGATAATGAAGACGGGAATTCCCGGTAACTCTGTGCTGTACAAAGAATCTCTTTAAGGTCGAATATTTGCCGGCCTTGGCGTGGGGCAAACACACTTGAGAGCGAAGGCTATAATGACAACTGTCGGTTGCTTGTAAAGAGGCAAAGTGGTGTGGTTTTCTCTCCTGATAGCATCACTTCAGCGATGCAGAGGAAATCGCATGGCAAATTTCCTGCATAATCTAGAAGAGGAATTGCATTATTTTAGGACTGTGTAAATAGTAGAAGTAAACTTGGGCGTGTCCTTTGTCTACCGGGAAGTGGGATATGTTGCATGTAGGTGGCTCCTGTATTCGCCTACCTGAGAGTGGTTTCCCTTCAAAATGCCGGAGGGTTGGAATGCTTGACGGAAAAGAACGGGGACAGAATGCCTCTTCCCAGCCTCGAACGGTACTAGCTCTAGATAGCGGCATAGCATGGCACAGCATGGAAGTCCGGAAGGGGCTTCTAGAGCGGTTCCAACTCGGTTGGGTCATCTGGAGGAAGGATGGCGGGTAGGATCAGTGGAGCAGGGTTGATGTTGATCCGAGCGTGAGTATGACGAGCTAGTAAATGCGCCATGGCGGCAATTTGCTTTTCAGCCAAGCCGGGCGAGCGAGACTATCGTGTCAGTGTACCGTTTTGGCTAGGGGTTGTTGCATGCATGCACTGATGGGCCAAGGCCAATATGCTCCGGAGCTGATTCATCTCAAAGGCATCCTCGCATAGCCAGCGAGGTGACCGTAGGAAGTATGTGTGGCATGACTTGCTCGACGTCCGTGACGATATCGAACCAGCCACCCGTTCTGATGTTGTGTTTTGATCTACCCCGCAAAAATAAAAGGATCAAAACTCTGGGGATTTCCCAAAATCCTCTGGACAGGGAGCGAGTAACCAACCATGCTGGTACTGAGCTGGATGGCCTCGATACGGACAGGCGAGGGGGCGGGATGTGTACACGAGTCTGGATGTGTCTGCGGGCATAGATGCGTTGTAGCTGGGAGGGTTGTATCTTGCTGGGAGTTGAGAAAAGCTGTACCCCCCCACGGGGTTGCAAGCCACTGGAAAAGCCTGTCATTGTAATACCCAGTCAGCGAACAGTGGAGAGAGACCAGGATCGTGGCGGTCATGTGGCTGCTGATGGTCTCGGATCCGGTGGAGGGAGCCTGGAGTCTGGAGACAGACGTAGGCGGGACAAGATGGAATCTGCTGCAAGGACCCATCCATCCCCTCCTTCATCCAGGCTGGCTTCGGCCATACAGCACATGCCCTTGCCCTTGCCCATGTCCATGGCGGATGTCGCAGATGGCTGCCTGTTGGCCAGTTAGCGCCTGGCTGGATGGACACCTGCCCGTATTCTCTCCGAGATGCAGAGTTTTTTTTCTTCACTTCCCCTACCTCAGCCGCTGACTGTGTCACCATCGTCATGACGACACTCAGTGAGGTCTTTTGTCTTTATTATAATTATTAAGCTTGCTTTTTCGCTCGCCAGGGGCCCAATGTGGGTCAAGATAAACAGTCATGGGTCGTTTTGGCCGTCTATTAAGCTCATTTGTAAGGTTATTCACTCGTCTCCACGGTAAGTCGATTAGACTCTGGTGCTGTGCAAGGAATGTGTGTAATGCAAACATGTGTGAGGCCTGGACGAGCGCCGAACATCCGGACAAGGGCTCTCGGTGTCTTGACGTGCCACCACAACGCGGCTCAAAGACCAAGAGATTGTCAGATTTTCTTGGCTCTCGGCACATCGGCAACAGCCACTCCCCGCACTTGGCTTGATTGGAGGGCCTTGCCATGGGATGACATCTAGCACCTTGGCAGGGCTTGATGTCTGTCAACGTCCGTCATCGAACTCCCATCCACGAGACACGATCAAGAACATGAGAACATCCTCGCGGTTGAGGCCGGTTCTGGTTATTTCAGCTCGAGGAGGGGACGGTTGGCACGATGAGTATCATCATGCTCACGGTCAACGTGGGAGCCCGCCAGGGGCTGGGGCCGGATGGGACGCTGCCTGTCCATCTGCTCGTAAGGGTGGCCGTTAGCGACGCTGAATCCCATATTCCCCATCTTTGCTCCCTCCCGGCAGGCATTCTCATCTAGGTAGTGATTTTCTCCTGTCGACCGGCTACGACATTGGGCCAGGTCTGCTCGCGCGCACGTTCCTCCCCACTCGAGCAAGGTTATCTGCCTTTGCCTTTTAGCCTCGTCCCCATCAGAGAAGCATTTTTCTCTTTACGGGGGTTCGGCGAGGCTATACTGCGTTGAGTAGGTCCGACTTCTGCTCCATAATTCACCCCATTGATGTGCAGAGACCCGGTGAGGGACTGTTACATTCTGGCAGTCTATATCCTGCAACGTACTAGATCTGTTCGAGGGTGTTCTGTGCGCATGTAGAGCACGGCGACTGTTGATGCGGGAACCTGAGACAAGGGAGGGAGAACACGCGCTGCGGCGGTTAGGCAGGTAACCAAGCCTAGACAGCCATGTACCTCCCATGCTGGTTCCTAAGCGATGACAACTACTCGCAAGTAATCATCCATTTCTTGTTTATCAATTTCTTAGTCCGTCTTCCCCATCACCCATCTCGTCCTGGCCGCTAGACGGAAGGGTGGGGAGGGGCGCGTGGGTGATCAATGGGCAGCCGTAATACCACTTCCGGAAAGGGATCTTTGTGACGTTGACGCGCACGAGTCGAGATGGCATCATCATGCCACGGAGTACCTTGTAGCAATACGACGGCGTCTAGAAGAGGTGGGACAGGCTGGCAGACCCAATCACCGCGGGCGTCCGAGTGTCGGCCATCGTCCGGTCGCCGGCTTCAGAGTCTTGCCATCGAGGTGGAGAGAATGGACGAGGGAGGGCTGCTTCCCTGTCCTCGTTACCCCGATGGCATGGGGAAAAGAGCGCACAAACCGACAGGACAGACAGGATAGGGACAGGGGAGGGGACGGAGCGCCCATGCTGATGATACCTGGTCGACTGTCTCTGTCCAATATGGATGTCTGGGGGAAAGAGCACTTGCTGGGTGCCTCCCTGAACTCGATTCATCCGCACTTACTGGCACCCACGGAGAATCCTCGACACAACATGCTGTTGTTCGACCCCATGTCTCACCCACTCACTCACCTTCTCACCTCTTCATTTGCTTCCTGCGTGCTGCCTCCCTCTTGAACCCTGCCGGGAAAAGACCGTCCCTCAGCCATATTGGTACTAGAAGGTGCATATCACTCACTCTGTATCGGGCCCGCCGTGAGATTGGACTGGGTCCGTCTATCTGTTTCTGCCAGGCCACATGAGACGCTCGAGGTTAAAAAACAAACTGCGATTGTAGGAGCTTGGCACCCTTGCATCAACTACCTCCTCCTCAGCTACCCGTTGATCTGCTTGCCTACCTATATATACCTCTCCCCCGCTCCAACAAATTCTCTTGCCTGATTCTTCTCCCAAGCCCCTCATCCCCATCCAACTTTAATAGTGGAAAGTTTCAACCGGTCTTCCCCTCTTCTTGCATCCTCTGTTTACTTCAACAATGGCTCACGAGGGCGGCATTGACACAACGGGCCTTGAGCCTGCCGATCCATTGGCAAAGGGCATCCTGCCCACGGCCAAGCAGTCGTTCAGGGATCTCTTCGTCTGGAAGCACCGTCTCGTTGTCACAAACGACAATGGCGAGACGACATGCTACTGGAAGGAGCCTGAGCGTATCCAGAACCCCATCAGCCTCTTCATGATGCTGGATCTCAAGGGATGGACTTTCTTCCTCGTCGGTCTGGCTGCCTGGACCGCCGATGCCTTCGATTTCCATGCCCTCTCTATCCAGACCAAGAAGCTGGCTGATTACTACGAGACCTCAAAGACTGCCATCACCACCGCCATCACCCTCACCCTCCTCCTCCGTTCAGTTGGCGCCGCCTTCTTTGGTCTTGCTGGTGACAAATGGGGACGAAAGTGGCCCATGGTCTTCAACATGGTTGTCCTCGGTGTTCTCCAGATCGCCACTATTTACAGCAGCACCTTCTCTCAGTTCCTCGCTGTCCGCAGTCTGTTCGGCCTCTTCATGGGCGGCGTCTACGGTAACGCCATTGCCATGGCTTTAGAGGAATGCCCGTAAGTTTGCCCCAATGAGAAAACCAGCTGGTCAGAAACATGTCAAATTGACTTTTTTATTCGTTTAGTCTACCAGCTCGTGGCTTAATGTCCGGTATCCTGCAGCAAGGTTACTCTCTTGGCTACGTTTTCGCAGCCTGTGCCAATCTCGGCGTTGGTGGCGACAAGAACAGTTGGAAGGTCGTGTTCTGGATTGCTGGTAAGCTTTTGTCCAATGCAGCGACTCCGTAGTCATGAAGCTAATATCCCGGTTTCCCCCGTTTAGCTGGTATCTCCATTGCCGTCGGTCTCCTCCGAATCGTTTTCCCTGAGTCCAAGCAGTTCCTTGAAGCCAAGGCTCATGGCAAGAAGGCGACTTCTCCTGCTGCTTTCTGGCGAGACTGTAAGGCCATGTTGGCTCGTGAATGGAAGATGGCCGTGTACACCATCATTCTGATGACTTGGTAAGCTATTCCTTGTTCCCAAGTGGAATTGGCATCTTGAATACACTCTTTGGCTGCAGAACACTAACAACGAGTCTAGGTTCAACTTCTATTCTCACACTAGCCAGGACTCGTACACCACATTCATGCTTACCCAGAAGGCTCTTGACAACACACCGGCTTCTAGAGCATCCATCATCATGAAGGTCGGCGCGTGTGTCGGCGGAACTATCATTGGATACTTGAGTCAGTTCTTCGGCCGTCGCCGCGCCATCATGACCTCCGCAATCGTCTCTGGCATCCTCATCCCCGCCTGGATTCTGCCCAAGGGCGAGGCATCTCTGAGCGCCAGCGGTTTCTTCATGCAGTTCTTCGTCCAAGGCGCCTGGGGTGTCATCCCCATCCACCTCAACGAGCTGTCCCCCCAGGCCTTCCGCTCCTCCTTCCCCGGAGTCACCTACCAGATCGGCAACATGATCTCATCCCCCTCTGCCCAGATCGTCAACGCCATCGCCGAGAAGACCTTCATCCAGGGCCCCGGTGGCAAGATGGTCGAGGCCTACGGCCCTACCATGGGCGTCGCCACTGCCATCATCGCGTTGGGCATCTTCTTCACTGCCATGTTCGGCCCCGAGAGGTGCGGCAGAGTCTTCGACCAGAGAATTGCAGGCGAGGTCACCGATTCTTCCGACTCCAATGGCAAGGTCGTCGACGAGGAGAAGGCAAGCGTCGAGCTGGCGTCCAGGCGGGTATCTGCTGCCGAGCCAACCCACAAGGAGGGTTAGTTATATGCATCGTTGGAGGTTATTCGAACAAGGTTCTTTATATAGAGAGGTCCTCTTAGTAAGGCCGTAGGTATCCTCATAAGCAAGACTGGCACTTGGTACCCAACAAATGCATCGGCCCGAATACCGTGATATGATGGTAAATGCGAATTGCGATAATGAGCCCATTTTCCACTGGCAGTTTCATTTTAAGCCCTTATTCTTATGCTCCTATAGAAGAGAAGCGGAAGAGAGAATATGAGATTAGGATGGCCTCGACGCGATCGATGCGAGAACAGCTTGTCAGCAATCTTTTAATTAGCAAGATACGAGCATATTACAATTATTATCATTAAAATATAATAAAGATAAGAGTCATGCAGGGAGGCAGCATCATTTGTGAGGCTGTGAGCAAATACAGAGATTAAACAAGATGAGGATGCTCCCATCTTGTGCCTTTTTCACCCCTCACTAAATTACTTATCCTACTCGCTTTATCATCATTATAAGGGAAGAAACTTTTCTATTTAAATCATTTCCTTTGGAAACAGTAGCGTCTCTCGCAGGGTGAAGTCTGTTTCTCAACATTCGATCCAAGACCCCTTCATGGCAAGATCGAGCTCGGCTTCGCTCACAGAGCTGGATTCGCTTCAGAAATTTAGACACAAGCTGGGAACGAGTTCAAGGCTTTGCAAATTCGTCTTGACGCCATGATCATACATTATATGTAAAAAAAGATCATATCCTGACCAGTTTTTGGGTGTTTTCGGGGGTCTTGATGATCATCCCACACCGAGCCAGGAAAGGGTTGGGAATGATGAAGTTGCGACTCTTTATGTCATTCTTTCTTCATGTCCTCTCTCTACGAGCTTTTCCATTGCTTTTGAAGATCGCTAATTAATGAAAGACCGGGAAATTTGTGAGTTTCAATCGTTTTCTCGAGCAGTTGCACTAACGCGGCTCGCCTTGTCGTTGACTGCATGCAAAGCCCAGCTTTATTTCAGTCAGCAACCATTGTGGGATGCAAAGGCGCTTAGGACTCACCGGTATAGAGTGCTTGTATATTTACAAAGGCGAGTGGCATATCAGTCGTTTCTTGGCTGGCAATACCGCATATGGTGTTGACGCTTTGATCCAGCTGTCTCTGGCGGGCTCTGTATACTTCGAGCCCACCCGCGTTGGGCATGTGCAACAGCAGAATTATTAGAGCTAAATTATACATCTGTACAGCCCCTGCATGGGAAGGGGGATGGATCCAGATCGGGGGGAAGGTGATGGTCTGGCTTGCTTGAGCTGGCCCGGACGAGGAATCTTTGGTTGACGTGTTAGTGGCCATATTGGCAACACTGCTGGCCGCGGAATTATGGTAACCATTAAACGGCTTGTGTGATACAATGGGGCGGAATGATCTTGGAAGTAGTGAGTCCCACGCCCGGAGGGCCTCCCTCAGCTTGTGTCCCTGTTCGATTCGCTGTTGGATGTCGATCAGAGGTGATTCGGGATCTACTCCGGCATATTGAACCACTTTGGCGGCGATGTAGACTATCCGTGTTGCGTACTCATCGGGTGTGAGCTGTTGGAGACTCCTCCTCGGACACCAAATGGTCATAGTAGGACGCCCGGCCCTCAGTGCCGCCCACATGTCCTGCCGAAGCCACGCCCACCAGACCGCCTGGCGGAGCCCATCAGTAGACTCCCCGTCATTGTCTTGGCAGCGCTGGATCCAAAAGCCTCCCCTTAGGTGACGGTCCCAGTCGCTGTTGTTGGCAGGCCCTGTGGATTCAAACATCTCGTAGGTGCTGATCATGATGGCTGTCGCTAGGATCTCATGTGAGTCTGCATATGACTGGTAAGACAGAGTCTGGGATAGATATCGCAATGTTTCATAGTAATACTGCTTAGCGACCCGAGCCGGTTTCGAAAGGGGAAATGATTTTGGATCAGACTTGTTCGGGTCATTGCTTAAAATAGAGTGCCCCTCAGATTCCGGTGGATTTTCAATGTCTAATGAGATATGCCTAGCAGATACTGCGAGTATTGACTTGAGGAGCCCAACGTTTCGAGTAGCCAGATGAGGCACGAGGTTGGTGAAATGGCGAGTGGGGTCAAATAGGTCGAGAAGAGGGCCAATGTATTCGACATAGTGTCGCATATAGAAAAGATCATCACCCTCAATTGGGATAGGAGTAGGAGTATTCCAACCCGGCACTGTTTCACTGGTCGTCTCGCTGGGCCCCGTCACAATGCCATAGTAAAGTTCGTTTCCCATGGCAAGGCCATCGTGGCTCTGTCTTCGGGACAGAGATGCCTTATCAAAGTCCCAGCGGTAAGCATCGCTCGCGATGTCATTATGCCGCTGAATGTTAGTTAGAGCGTCCTGTGCTAATAGATCAAACCACTCAAACGCCGTGGTATTGTTTGGCCAGGCAGAAGCTTCGCCTGGAGAGAGAAGTGGTGCAATTGATGGCGCCGAGGCATCAGGGGTGAGAACCGGCTCGGCTCCAACTGCGTCGAACAGCCCTGTGTGAGTGACTGCCGAGGGGGATTGTGTATTGAGAACTGCTTGTGGAGACTTGGAGAATGTAACGACAGGAGGTGACTGTATGGTGATAACTGCCTGTGGAGATTTAATGCAATGAGCAGTCGACGGGCTTGCCGTTGGGCTTGCTCTGGCTTCCCTGGGCTCTCCCACTGGCTCGAGAAGTCCATCTAGCTCAACCGAGGTTTTCGGCCGAGATGCTATCGAATCCGTCGAGGGGGTTGTATTCTCCAAGGACGAAGAGCGTAGACACTCCCTGTCAGACTTGGTACATTGCCCGCATCGAGGCAACTTTTCATCACACTTGATTCGTCTCTTACGACACGTCAAGCTTCACCCCACAAAGTCATGTATAAGTCAACGGCGGTTCCACTTCTCCACGATTTCAAACTTCTGAATGTGGCAAAAGAGTAGAGGGGAAGGATCTGGGGAAGCCATTTACAACATAGCACTCACCAGCCAGTGGAAGTCCTCAAGCCTCTTGCACGCGAGGGACGGACCCGACGGGGTCTGGAGACACCCTGTGTAACCATGGAGCCCTCGTTTCGACACACACTTGGTCGAGGCAAGACACGGCAAGGAGACCTCCTCGAATATAGAAGATATTTCCATCAAGCCCAAGAAGATTGGGCAGGAGAGGAGATGCGAGCCATGCAAGCGAGAAATCCCAACCTCAACAATGACTTAGAAGCGAGAGAGTAGTGACACCGACCAATGAGGCGGACTAGCGAAAGGCCCCGTCTCGAGGCAATACGCGAGTCGAGGCGAGATGCACCCAATCCTTCTTGGGCAGGCGGCCCCAGTCTTTTCCATTGTCTCCATCCCAATCACACTCCCCACACTCCGTGATATGCAGAGATGACCATCCCGCGGCAGTCCCCTGAGACCTAAACAATGTGCCAAGAGGAGAGAGCAGGGAAGATTTAAAGGCAGGCGGCTGCGAGTTCGCCGATATCCAGAACAGGTGAAGAACACCCATTGCTGTCAAGGCGGGCGAAGGTCTGTCTGGAGCATTATCCAGCGACTTGCCTTAATGGGTGCCATAGAACTTGTTGATTGGGTGCCGAAACTCAAGTAGTCCATCACCCCAGTCCTCTCATTCGCAGATCAGACTTGACTGGGCCCTGAGCGAAATGGCTAACCTCGACCGATTTGCCGAGCGCGGGAGTTATGCAGAGGCTTGATTGTCAAGCAAATTTGAAGGTTTCGGAGAATACGGGAAAGTGCCGAAGTTTAATATTCGGCTGGTGCGACGAGCACTACCTCTTTCGTTGACTGTTTGTAGGTTATTTCCCCAAACTATAGGATCGAGGAAGTAACGGTTGAGCAATACCTTCTTTATCGTGGGTGAACGATGGAAAGTGGAGGGTCGACCAGCCCAACCACCAGACGGGGACCTTAGTAGGTACGCAACTGCCAGCTACGAATGATTGGAACGCGGTGTATTTTACTCAAATCCTAAAATCAAATTCGAGCAGATTTCTCTGAAATTCAATTGGGCTCCAACTTACATCCATCAAGTGCTTTCTCGGTTTCTCTGCAAAGCTACGAAAATTACTCTGGCAAGCCCTGGCAGCTACGAAGGCCAAATGCATCGCCTGATAGCAAAATCAGTGGCGGGTATCTGCAATCAACCGCAGCCTCGCTACTGGCTGCAGGCATGGCGGGAGCTTGGGCCACCCGAGTTAGCGCTACCCCCACCAATTACTGGCTGCAGGGCCGAAGCCTACCAAATACCAGCTGAGCCAAGCTTCCAAACCTCACGTCACATCAGTGCTTCAGTACACCACAGCTTGCTTTCAGTCTCCAAGCAGCACGACTAGGACGCAGCCGAAAACTTTTGGACGCCTTGATACCATCGACCCTACAACCCTCGATCTGCCCCGCCCCGTCCAACCCTTTGGGACCGCGGCACCATGGCTACCTACACTGAGAATAACCTGGCTGAGCCATCCGCTCTACCTGCCGAAGTCCGCAACGAGGTCAAGAAGCCCAAGAAGAAGAAGGTTCTCCTTATGGGGAAGTCTGGTTCTGGAAAGTCCAGCATGCGTAGCATCATCTTCAGCAACTATATTGCCCGAGATACTCGTCGCCTGTCCGTCTGCCAAGAATCTGCCCCTCCTCCCCAGCCGAACGTATACTGACAGCTGAGAATAGAGGTGCAACTATCGACATCGATCTCTCCCATGTCAAGTTCCTAGGCAACCTTACACTCAACCTGTGGGACTGCGGCGGGCAGGAAGCATTCATGGAGAACTACCTATCCCAGCAGCGCGTCCACGTATTCTCCAATGTCGGAGTCCTCATCTACGTTTTCGACATCGAGTCCCGCGACGTCGAACGAGACCTCGCAACCTACGTGGCCATCCTCTCGGCCCTCCTCCAGTACTCCCCGGGCGCCAGAATATACATCCTCATCCACAAGATGGACCTCGTGGTCCCCACGGCCCGCGAGGCCATGTACGAGGAGCGCGTCCGCATCGTCCGCCAGAAGACCACCGAGCACTCCAACAACGACATCGACCTCATGCCCTTCGCCACCAGCATCTGGGACCAGAGCCTCTATAAGGCCTGGGCCTCCATCATCCACGACCTGGTCCCCAACCTCTCCGTCATCGAGCGCAACCTCGCCAACCTCGGCATGGCCATCGAGGCCGAGGAGCTCCTCCTCTTCGAGCGCACGTCCTTCCTGGCCGTCTCCTGCTGGACCTCGCCCGAGGGCCAGCACAACCCCACCGAGGACCGCCTCGAGCGCATGTCCAACATCATGAAGCACTTCAAGCAGAGCATCTCCCGCTTCACGGGCACCCCGCGCAACGCCGAGCAGTTCATCCGCATGGAGCACAAGGCCGGCATGCGCTTCAGTCTGTTCATCCTCAAGTTCACCACAAACACCTACCTCATGGTCGTCCTCCCACCTGGCGAGGCACGCTTCAATGCGGCTATGCTGAATTGCCAGATCGCCATTCAGCACTTCAAGTTCCTCGATGTGCCAAGCGCACTACCGCCCTCCTCGACTATCGCTTAAGTCTGGACGGCATTTCTTCATTCTTGATTTTTAAAAAAGAACTCTACCGGGAAGGATGACATGATATTGACGTATCTTAGCAATGTGTTTGGGATTAGAGATACCATATGGTTGTTACGCAGAGATTCTGGCGTCACTAAAGGGCCTCGCTGTGGGGGTTTGGCGTAGGGTGTTTTTGATTTACCCTTTTTACTCTTTTTGTTTCTTCTTGTTGTTGGACTCTACATCTTTTCGAGTATTCTAATTAGAATAAGAAAGGTTGGTCGCAATGTTTCTTGGATGGCCTGTCAGGGCTTCCTAGCCTGCCCCGACCCCAGTACCATATCCCCCATTTGAAGAACTCCATGGATACGGTGTAAACGTGACGTAGAATAACCTTCTTGTAACGAGTTTCATACACAGCAAGAAACTATTTCCACTTCACCACAGCAGTGCCTCCCTTCTTGAACTCTGCCATGTCTCCTAGGACAAGGCTCTTGTCAGTGTGCTCCTTGTTTGGGAAGGTGGTAGCCAACACCCAAGGACGAGTTCGCGTATCAGCGGAGGCTCCCTGGATGAACTGGTACAGGTCCCCAATAGTTTGTGTAGTGTTGAAGCGAGCTGGGAGTCTTGTTCCATCTGGCAATTGGATGCGGATGCTGACTGTAGGCTGGGAGCTGTCGACATCTGACGCTGGTGCCGTTGAAGCTGGAGCGGCGGGGGCTTGGCTGGAGGCCACTTCTGCGATCGAGCTCGAGGCCTCGTTCCCATCACCAGGAACCGGGCTGCCCAATCGACGGCCAGAGCCGCCGAATGGCTTGTACTTCTTGGGAGGGGCCTGGTAGGGGGTTTCGTGCTGTTGGAGCTTCACGTCGACGGGGGCGTTGTGCGAGACGTTCATCAGATGAAGAGGTGCTCTACCTTGCCTGATCATCTGGAGGTCCGCCATGTTAGCTGGGTCGTCAAATCGGCGCAGTTCGCCATCGTCAATGCTGAATCCGTCCTGCCAGATATGCAGCACACGCTCCTGGGGCTCTGCATTCGATGATGGTGATGGACCGAGAGGATCGGGGATGCTTCGGCTCTCGACTCCCTCACCTCCAAGCGTCACACCAGTTCCACGGAAGAATGAGCTTTGCGAAGGTCCAGCATCTGACGAGGGATCTGGGCGAGTGGAGTTTCTGCTTCGGGTTAGAATTTGCCATCTAGATCAAGCTACTAGCATCGTGAGATAGACGTACTTCTTCGCTTTGGCCAAAATGTCGTTGATTAGCTTCTTGGAGCCTCCTTCCTGCTTAGGATCCTGAACGGCTAAACCGGACTTTTCACCGCCTGCAAACAGATTGCCACGTCCATCATCATCGTCGTCGTCATCGAAATCCTCGTCGCTATCGTCGTCATGATCGTCATGTTGATGGTGTGAGCTGCCAAGGGAACCGAGCGTCGCAATGCCTCTCTTCTTGGGCTGGGCTGTGGATTTTTGGGCCGATCGACTGCTGGCGGCCTGAGGGGCTGGGCGGCCATCGAGGGTACGGGGGCCGGTGTAGTTGGTGTTGACTGCTTCTGTTGTTGACTCGCCCTGGCCTTCGGCTCTTCCCTCGTCCTCGTCCTGGTAGTAGGAGTTGCAGGCAGTCATGATGTCCCAGCTATGAGCTCCGAGATACTGAACGGCCTATGAAATCGGTACGTCAGAATCAGAGATGTCGAAAAAGCGTAGATAGAACATACCTGTTCGGGGGTTGCGCCAGTCATTTCCACGAACTGGGCAACCTGCTGCTCGCGGTCCTCTTGGTCAGCCATGATGACAATAGGAAACCGGAGCAAGAAATGGCGTAAGGCTAGGTGATATAGTAGAAGACTGCAGGGTCCGAACGGTAGCGAATGAACTCAAAAGATACAACAGCGCAAAGACACTTGTTGCATTCGAGGTGAAGGCTGCGGAAGACCACCTAAACGTGAACCTCGAGCTTAGCGGCAGGCAGCAACAGGCAACTCCGATTCACGTCACTGGCAAGCTCTAACGGAGGTGCTGCCAGGGCCTGGAGGCTTCGGTGGAGCCTCCTAAGCATGGCGGGCGGAAAATACCCCACCGGAAGAGCAATCCACCGTCGCCGAACATTGAGAGAGCCCTGTTTCTAAAGCGTTAGCTCGGATCAGTGATCCACCGGCGCCGACCCATCTGCTGACATAATCATAACGCATGGGCGGAAGAGCTCACTCGCCTGGTCATAGCAGGTCCCTCCGCAAGTCGGTGCGTTGGGATATCCGAGACGGGATAAGACGAGACGAGCATCGCGAAGCTTTCTACGAACGATACAGGCTCTCGAGTCGCCAACGGAGGAGCTAGGCTTGCGTTTACATTCCACCCTACCTCAGTTGCAAGGTCACATAGCCACCATGGCATTGGATGAGCCCACGAATCCCCTTGCCGAGTCTGGCGTCACGATGCATTCCGACAGCGAGCAGTATGGCGAAGAGCTCTCCGGCTCACCTGGATCATCGGGCTCGCCAGTCATTCTCTACCAGCCCCCTACAGTTTGGTCGCTGCTACGAGGCGCTGCCATTAACCTAGTCCTGCCTTTCATTAATGGTATGATGCTTGGATTCGGCGAGCTGTTCGCTCATGAGGCTGCTTTCCGTTTAGGATGGGGTGGTACAAAGGTAGAATCCATATGAAGCATCACAACCGCACCAGATGACTAGATATGCTAACTCGGAACTCAGGTTTTTCCCCTGTCGAGAAGAAGAGCTCATCCCATCGGCCCCGGCATCGAAATTCAAGAATCACGGCAAGGCGGTCGGAAATTGGAGGATTTTGCTAGCCTAGACTAGTTTCGCAGCCTCTTCTTCAACCACAACATATAATATGCCAACCCGAAACTCGTTTACAGGCATCGAAATGTCAAAAGACCAGCCAGAAGCATGTTTACAAGGATCAATAGCAGGGTCATCGGTTGGGACATGCCACAGCATCTGTACATAGTATATCGCCCACATCTAGACCTGGGGGTGGATTTGCACCTCCAAAACAATATCTCTAAAGATCAAAGTGCTCAAATATCTAATTAAATATACTGCAAATGCTTCCTACACTCCAAATAGAATTTCGCCGTTATGCACACTGCCCGCACTCCATTGGGACCCTTCTTCAACAGGTTTAGCCAAAAGTGGGGCCCCGGTGTTCCAATCGCGCGCTGAATAAAAAAATCCCCAAACTTCTGTTCCATTTGAGAACATCCATATAGAATCTCAGCAAGGGGCCGCCACCATGCTTCCAAGCCGAGGAATTGTGCGGTCGTTACCCTCCGTGGGCGCACATACGCTATCCTCAAGTCGACATGTACATACCATCTCCTCCCTCCCCGCCGCCTCTGGCTTTGAGACCTACGGACGAAGACTGACAGAACATTGGCCCGGCAGATTCCATCGAGGACATTTCTGAAGAATGGAAGGCAATTTGGTACTCTCAAGGCCAGCCTTTCGAGTGGCTCGGCCGTCCGGGCAAGTCCTTTCTCTAATAATAGGCCATATGTCGCCCCAATTGCGCTCGGCGGCCCCGCGTCAGTGAGGGCATACTCGATCTGGGGATACAGGATCCCGGGAACCGGCAAGTCCACGCCAGCAACCCCTCCGGCTGAGTCTGTGGTCCCCGAAGAAGTGGTCGAAACCGCCTCCGCCGCCAAGGACGCAGCAACGAGCGCCGTAGAGACCGTGGCCGCAGCCCCCGTCGAGGCTGCCACCAACACCGCACAAGCCGTCGCAGAATCCACCGAGTTGTCCGCCATCTCCGATATCGTGAACAGCGGCGCCGAGATCTTGAGCCGTGCCGAGGGCCTTGGATACCTCAAATCTCTCGGTCTCAACTATGGCTACGGCTTCACCTCCACCATGCAATGGGTCCTCGAGCACGTCCACGTCTGGGGTGGTGTGGGCTGGGGCAGCGCCATCATCATCACCGGCCTGCTCATGCGTGTGGCCATGTTCTACCCTCAGGTCCAGTCCGTCAAGTTCAGCTCGAAGATGAAGATGATGCAGGAGGACCCCCGCCACAAGGAGGTCATGGAGCAGATGCAGAAGGCCGCGAGGGAAGGCGACCGCTCGGCCCAGCAGCAGGCTCAGTTCCTGAGCAGCATCCTGCGGAAGGAGTACGACGTGCCCGTCACGGGACTGTTCTGGACGTTCCTCCCCATCCCCTTCAGTATTGGGCTCTTCCGAATCCTCAATGGCATGGCCAGCATCCCCGTGCCCTCGCTGGAGACAGCCGGCTGGCTCTGGTTCCAGGACCTGAGCGCCGCTGACCCTTACTACGCCCTTCCCGCCCTGGCCACTGGTATCATGCTGCTCACTATGAAGGTATGTTTAAGGTTCCTACACATATACGATCCGTACGAGAAACATACGTTAACAATGTCCCCCAGTTGAACCAAGTCAACAGCACCCCCAAGCAGCAGAAGATGCTCAAGACCATGTCCTACGTCCTCGTCCCCGTCATGCTCATCGCCACCTCCTTCCTCTCCGCCGCCATCAACCTCATGGGCGTCACCGTCGCCGCCTTCACCATGCTCACCGGCCGGCTCCTGCTCAACAACAGCTTCCGCGCCGCCATGGGGATCCCCCCCGTCGCGCCCCCGGCCCCCAAGCCCGTGGAGCAGCTCTCGTACGAGGCGCCCCGCCAGCAGCCGGCGACCATCCGCGAGAAGCTCACCGACAACCTCGAGGACGTCAAGAAGGGCTTCTCCGAGTCCGTGACCAAGATGACCGGCAGCGTCCGCGGGACAGACAAGGACCGCGCCGAGCGCCAGCGCAAGGAGTCGATACAGAAGCTCGAGGAGAAGCGCGCGGACGAGGAGAGGCGGCTTTTCGAGGAGAAGTACAAGCGCAAGGCCTAAGGGGCCAACGGCAGAGAAGAGAACCGGAAAGACCGCATGATATGCGCTGTTGTATTCTACAGATCTAGGTTTCATGTGTGGAAGTATTGTAAATATAGAGGCGGCAATCTTCTGGATCTAAAGAAGGGGGAAAGATGATCATGTACAATATAAAAGCTGTAGCAAAAGCGCAGTCTCGATGCCACTCGGCATGCAGAATAAATGTAAAGACTCCAATAACTGATCAATTTTTAATCTGTACACTGTAAAAACTGTCACAAAAGCATAGTTTCTATGCCACTCGGCATCCAGGAGCAAAGGTAATACTCCAAAAACTGATCAATTTTTAATCCTTCCGAATCGTAATATACGAGATCGAGGGGTTCCTCCTCAATTATCGTGACTCATCTCAATGTAAGAGCCTGCTCCCTGCGTATGTAGAATAAAAAAACAGGTATCCGTCATAAAAAAACAAAGGTTATCCCTCTATCACAGGTCTTTCTCTACCTTGGAGACCGGAAGGATACGATTAAAAGCCTTTCTGTTGAAACTCATGTTCGTGTTCTCATTAGGATCAAAAGACCGTCCCATCGGTGTCGGTGAGAATTGGTGGCTCCTTGGTGTTGGGGCGGTTGATCTCAGCCAACTCACGGCCGCCCTATTATATCGTTAGCATGGCCATCCACATGAAGCAGATTGCACGAACGGAAGAGGAATTCGATACACACCTTCCAACTACCGGCTTCCAGCAACTGTGCCAACGTCAACTCTTGTCCCGCCAATTCCTTCTTCAAAGCTCTGTTGACTTCGACGCAAAGCTGGTCAAGAAGTCCAATGGTAACACCTCTCCACTCCACGATTACGTCGTCACTGGGCTCGAACATGGGGGCCACTTCGATACCCTTGGAGCCAGTACGCCTGCAGTAGTCGGAATAATTTTGGAGACCGCGCTCGGTGTCGTCCTTCTTCAGTGTCAAGAGTCCCATGTCGACGAACAGACCACCATTCCGGTACTCGGGAAGTCCAGTCAGCAACTCGGTTCCGGCAAAATGCATTTTGAGCAATGATTGCATGGGCTGCATAACCGAGTATGCGAGCCACTGCGTGAGTTTGTGGAATGGCAGGATCGATTCCCAACCCCCTGTCCCCTTTGACATTACTTGGCTTGGCCAAGCATCTCCGAGCGAGATGCCGTTAATGGATGTGCGCGAGTGAGGCCAGACCTGTGACAGGCCATTCATGAGAACGTTCCAGAGGACAGGAAGGGGAACGATGAGCTGGGATGAAGCTTGCGTGGACGGGTGGCCGAGCAAGTGATCTAGAATGTTTGTCAGCTTAAGGCATGCTAATGTGGTTTGACAGGGACGGCGATTGACATACCAACCATATTTCCAGGTCGACCGTCTTCGCCAAAGAAGTCTGTCTTCTCAGCCAAACAATCTGCGAGCCTGATGAGAACCTCAGTGCGACCTTCAAGACCAGCCATCACATTCCCTGGGCGAGATTGAAGGCCAGCGGACAGTTTCTCTGCAGTCAACCCTCGAAGGCCATCCTTGTCAACCTGTGCCCTGTTCTTTGAATTTCCAGAAAACAATCCCTGCGCAAGTCTGTCAGCACGAAGGTTTTCCCACAAACGCGCCGCTGAAAACTCCCAAGGTACTCACGGTCTTGAACATCTCCAGACTGGCCACGGCAATACCCTCGGAACGCCTGTACATGCGACCGTTCTCAGCGCTCTTGTAGCTCCATTCAGTCCCCGCGCCGGCATCGATAAGCACGCTAACGACGAAAAGATCAACTAAGCGACGGCATCGTTCGGTGTTGTCGACCTCCTCGGGCCAAGTGGACAAAAGCTGAGCAATACGATCCCGGCCGCCGACACAGAAATGCTGGTATCGGCCGTGACTGGGAATGCTTGTGAAAGGGGCATCGTAGTCTCTCTGCGATCAGATCCAAAAACATTAGCTCAATTCTTGCCGTAAAAGCGTGACCAAAACTCATCAAATCAATTAGTTTAGAGCTCCGCGACAAACGAAAAAAGATATTCCCCCTCCACACAGTAGAGAATTGGACGCGCGGGGCAACTTATAGCCGTTGCCTGCTAAGAAGCCAGACAAGACTTATCGCGGGCTCGTGCAGCAATTCCCGATTCAGTTCCAGCCACCATGCAGGTATGACAACGTACCTTGATCAATTGGGAAACGAATGTGACGACATCAGACATCTTGCCCATGTCCACATCGAAGTGACACAAACTGTTCCGCGTGGCCTTCTCAAATACAATCTTGCTTCGCTCTCGCACTGCGCCCAAGCTTCGTAGGTATCCGGCGGGGTCGAGTTGGGGGTCCGGTGGTCGGGGGAGATCGATCTTGGGCATCTTGAAGGGCGCCTTGGAGGACAGGGGGCTGATAGGGCCAACGCTGCTGGCTGAGATGCGGTTAATCATCCCGCGCGAGGCGTTCGAGTTGACGCTGGGGGTAGAATAGGTACTGTGGAGGGGAGGTTCCGCCTTTGGGGCCTTTTCCTTGCGTGAGAAGATACCCATGATGGTTGATGCTGGTGGGGTGTGAAGCAGATTGCAGCTTATACGACGAAAAAGTAAGAGCGGCGGACCCTGGATCGAGGCTCTCAGGAAGAAGAAAAATCGGAAGCCCTCTGCTAATCTCAAGAATCCCAAGCGAAAGCAAAAAGAATGATACAGGCGTCCCAGGAGCAAAACCAGGTGAGGAGCTGTCTGGCGCAGCAGGAAGACGAGAGAAGAGGAACGGGGCGAGTCGGCGACAAGCTGTTGGAGTTTCTCCCCCAATTAGCAAAGGCTGATAGGTATGATTAGGATGCGGCATGCTCACCAATTGGTCACAAGCTGCTCAGTGGCCTTTGTCCGAGAGTCTGGCAAGTAAGAAGCCCCCCAAAATCAAGAACAGACAGAAGACAAGGGCCTCGAAGCTCCCGGAAAACAGAATAGGAAGCAACGAGTGTCGAGACGAGTTGAGGCAGCGCGAAGTAGACAAGACAGGACAAGAGCGAAGACCATGTCAACCCAAGACGGTTTAGCCACGATAGAAGCCCCCCTCTCGTCCCCTGGAGGTCCCCTTCCTGGCAGCCTGGGCTGCTAAGGCAACTTATCCAGTAATACTGGCCCGGAAGTGTACCGTAGAGGCTGGCTCACGCTTCTTTTGGAGGGGTCGTGGAACTCCCAACACACGCTATCACCTGGCCGAGGCCCCCGTTAGCACGGCGTGGGTGGGTGGGCCGCAGTGGCTAAAGCAAGGCGCTATGTGTGCTGTAGGGAGCCCTGCCCACTGGGACCCGCCTGCTGGTGTGCTGGGCCGCCTTCCCAGAGCCAGTTTAGATGCCCGCCCGCCTCATGGAACACCATTCGACGCTTCCGCGCTTGGAGGTGTTTAATTTCCTCGGACCCATTGATCCATCAATCCCCCGGGTGCAAACCCCAGCCGCCTTGAGCCTCTGCGCGCCCGGTATTGGCTCTTTCACAGGCGCCGGCCAAGGGAGAGTCGTCCCCGTCCCCTCCCCTCCCCATCGCTGGGCTGGTCCTCTCGAGGGTCAGGGCTCCGACTAGCATTGGAGCCGTTCCAGTTGGCCGGCGAGGCGCAGGCACCAGGTTTTTACGGTTGCCCACTTCCGACCAACACCCCAAAAACGGTGCGTACCCAAAGCAGATGGTGGTCGATCATCGATTCAGGGGGACCCCAATCTCTCAACTCGGACCTGCCAGGAACCCGTGGCCATATACCCAGGCCGTTTTGCTTCTTCTGCTCGCCCTGCAGGAAGGGGAATTGGAGACGGCAGCCTCCGCGACACGCACAGCACAGGCGGGCGGGAGGTCCGCCTCTCGCTTCACACCGCAGGGGTGATGCTTAGCCTCGACTAATCACCACATGCCATCTTGGAGTCGCACTACGCTTGGGATTTGTGCTGGGCTCGGGGTTCTGGGCTATGGGGACGGTGTAAATCGCTCGCATCTCAATTGACTTTTCGCCCTGCCTGCCCAGGCTTACCCAGGCTCCTCCCGACGATCCGTTAACTAATAGTCGCTACTATTGACCTTACCCACCCCGGCAACGTCCCATCTTAACTGCAAGTAGTAGCTGCAACGAATGAATCAGAGCATGTCTGATTATTGCACCGACTCGTGCAACGCGATGGAGGGCGACTGGGGGTGCCTCATCCATCACAAATCGTATGCATTACGCTCCCTCCCCCGCTCCTGCTCCTCTCAGCTGTCACGATGGCCATCGGGCACATTACATCAAGGAATGCAGTTGAGTTACCACGTGCCGGTACCGTGGGACGTCCCCTGAGCATGGTATTACGATAGGGTATTTGTGGCGCCAAACCACGAGTTTGGACCGTTCCCCTCCCCTGAAAAACAGTTCTGTCTGACTAGGTAGCCCGGCCTTAAAACAGGTTAGCTGCTAGCCAGCGGCTTGGGAGAGCACAAGCTGCCCAAACTGGGGGTCGGAAGTTTGGAAGTGACCGCATACTACGATGCAGTACGTAATTGCGAGTCGTAGAGATATGGTTGTTGGGGGTGCTTAGCCCTGGGCAAGTCTGCGCGCTTTTCTCGATTCTCGATAGGCCCAGGGCCAGCGGCACACCAGGAGCCGTCGAGGCAATGTCTGGCTGGCGCCACGGCGATAAGTCCTTTGCCGGAATGACTCTCTGGCACACATGCAAAAACCGATGTTCTGACCGGTTCCGTTCCAGGGTAGGATGGGCCGAAGGAAGTGGTTGACCTGCAGTAGTGCCCAGTGGTGCATAACTGTGCTAGCAGCGACAGCAGGCCCATACATACATGTGCAGCTGCTGGGGACAGGCGTGATCACACCATACGGCCTCGGGTACCTTGCATGGTGCGACACCCCGTCAAACCCATCCACAAATGAAGGGGCGACAGAGGGAAGAGGGAAACAAAGTCAAGTGCTGAGGTCGCATTCGCCTCCCAAACAAGCACTAAGGCAAGACATCCCAGGCTTCCTACGGGGACGACGCAGCGGCTC